GAGGACATTTGGTGTTAGTTTGTGTGGCCTTTGATTTGCTTGTCCTTGTTTGGAAAAAGGAAATGAGTTCCAGCTCAATATCTCAAAGCCAATTATTTGGGAAAAGCACCCACCAAGTGCTTCTAGAAACCTGAGCAAAGCTGGAATCCCTCTATCCAATACTTCAGACATTGAAAAATGGGGAGCAGAGGAGAGAGAGCGTCTTCTGGAGCAGTTTTCATCTGGTGGGTAGAGAGTGAAATGAAAGTTTCAAGGGTAGAGCCAGAGCCCCGCCACTCTGCCCTGAAATGAGCGCTTTATCATATGAGGGCCTTGCACCAGGCCGTCTTCCCTCGTGAAGAGAGCTCAGGAGCACCCAGAGCCTGACCTCCAAGATGTTTGCAAATGGGGTCCAAACACGATTAATCCTATCAAGGGCATTTCATTGTTGAACTTTCTGGCTGGTATAATGCTTCATTTAGGAACACAGCTTGGCAGAAAGACATCCAAGGTCACGGCATGCAATTGCTATCACCCTCCAACTATTTCTGGGGCTTGGCACCGCTGCCTTCCTGCTGAATTTGGAAGTTGGGATGTCTTCGCACACATGTACCACCGGCACTTAAGCCAACACTCCTTTGGTATGTGGACTATTTTCCATTGGAACATACCTCATTCCTTGTATCTGTGAATCACTTTCCATTAAATTCCTTTTATAAATAAAATGTACATAAATTATACAAACTTGTATAAATATTATGTAATTTGTAGCAATAATAGAGATATATCTAATTTGGTTTATATACAAATTGGATTATCTTTAAAGACACTCTCAGAAAGTATACTCATGCAATTTATAGAATATAAATATTTTAAGAATATACAGCCTTCGATTATTCTATTGTGTACATTTCTTTTATTAAAGAATCTCACTATGTGCTTTGAAATTCAAATACATTTAAGCAACTCTCTTTCAATATAATGTTTTAAAAAGACTAGTTTTCTACACCGTGTGTATGATTCTCTCTAATGAACATTCTATTTCTTACTCTTGAACAAAAAGCCAAAAAATGGAAACAAGGAAGCTAGCAGGTTCCTTTGTCATGACAGGTTTGTGGGAATTGCAGCTCATGTACTTATAATTCCAGTTCGCCCCTTGCATAAAGCAGCTAACCTGTGCATGCCCAAGGAATACTCTTGTATTTGCTTCCTAATAGACAGGTGTACACTGAGCCTAAACCTTGGCTCCCTTTTTTATCACATCTGAAACCTTCATTCTCCCACGCTCGTGCAAAGGGTGAGCTTCTCACCCACGCCGCGTTCAACCAGGGCCTTGGCAGGCTCTCAGGCCCCGGTGCGGGCCTGCTGGTTAATCGCCACCAGCCCCCCTTGGTGACCGCGCCCACGCGTGTCTCCGGGGCCTGGGCTAAGAGCATGTGCATATGCTCAGAGCTCTCCTCGGGTGACAGAGGCCAGGGCCCATCACACGGGGAGCAGCTGTGTGCCCGCAGAGGAAACCGATGCCCTGCTGTTTGGAGATGACTATGTAGGGAAACCATCATTACACATAATTATGTTTTTCATTTAAAGCTATAATTCTGTCCTTCGCCCATATTTTTGCTGTGGTATTTTATTTTGATATTTGAAGCACATGGGACATTAGAAGCAGTTAAACTATTACTTATTTATTCATTCATTTATTTATTTTTTGCTTTCTGGAGCAGCAGCAACTAAAATGAAAACGACAAACTCTAGCAAAATAGAAATTTTTATGTTTGCCTCTGAAAACAATTATAAAAATTACGTTTAAAACATTAGTAAGGACCTTGGCAGAAATACTAAAGAAATGAAGTAAACAAACCAAAGATAACATACAAAAAACTTGGAAAAATGAAGTTCTATTAAATATTTATTGTTACTCCTTTGAGCAAGCTGGGACATAAGTAGTTTATTATTTCCCCTTGCCAGGATGTCATATTTTTATTGCTCCTGTTTTATCCTTAATTTATTCTTTATAGTTATTTTTCTGCTTAAATATAATCTGCTTAGATTATATTTTTATGTAGGTGAAGTTACCCAGTAGGGCTGAGAAAAAATAAAATGATCTTATTCAGTCATTTAATATCTAGTCCTTAAATGACCCCCTGCACTTTTTTTTTTTTTAAATTCTCACCCGAGGATATTTTTCCTATTGCTTTTCAGAAAGAGTGGAAAGGAGAGAGAGAGAGAGAGAAGGGGGGGAGAGAAACATTGATGTGAGAGACTTGGATTGGTTGCCTCCCCCACCCACCCCAACCGAGGCCAGGGATCGAGCCTGCAACCGAGGTACAAACCCCTGGCTGGAATTGAACCCGGGACCCTTCAGTCTGTGGGCCCACACTCTAACCACTGAGCCAACTCAGCTAGGACGACCCTCTGCACTTTTTATTAATACAGTGAAATAGTGAGAATCCCTAGAAAAGCAACAATAATCTGGCTGGTAACCTTGTTTGTTCTGCACAGTGGGACATGTGCGCCTCACTTCTGTTCACTAACCCAGGGTCCCAGGCCTTTTGACTCTTTGACCGTCTGCTGCAAATTCAGAGAAAATATGGCTCCTACGTTTCTATGCCCCCCATAGGCGTAAAGAACTGTCCACCTAAACAGAATGTCTGAGGGGGATTTAAAGGAATGTGCTGAGAAATCACAACTTGTTTCTTCTCTTCAGCTTTCTTGATAGTGATGTTGCTATTAAAAGAACCATAATGTGTTTGGGGGCCCCCATACTAAGGTATGTGTTTGTAGATGTGTGTTCTGTGTGTTACGGTGGATTTCTCCATCCTAGGCATGTTTTCATGCCACGACTCCATAAAATCACTGACATGCAGAATATCTTTTCAATACCTCTTAGCTGACCCAAGAGTTAAATATCTTCTCCAGCAGCTCTCCAAAGGCTGGAAGTAGCAGAAAGATTATACACAGCAGCGGAATTGAATGGGAGAAGATGGTCACCAATGATACATCCGATGAGGGGGTCAATATCCAAAATATAAGAAACTTATACAACTTAACAGCAAAAACCAACAACCCCCCAACCCCCCACAATCTGATTAAAAAATGGGCAGAGGACCTCAGTGGACACTTCTCCAAAGCAGACAGACAGGTGGCCCATAGACATATGAAAAGATGCTCAGGATCATGAATCATCAGAGAAATGCAGATTAAACCACAGGGATAGCATCTCACACCTGTCAGAACGGCTGCCATCAAGAAGTCAACAAACAAGTGGTGGTGAGGGTGGGGAGCAAGGGGACCCTCATGCACTGCTGCTGGGAATGCAGACTGGTGCACTGGAAAACAGTATGGACATGCCTCAAAAAAATAATAGGATACTCATTTTGCACCTGACAAAACCTCCAAAGATATTCATATTTCCAGTTAAGGTACAGGTCAAAGTTTCAGATGAACTGCTGGGTGGGTACTTTTGTTTTCTTTGCAGTTTCCCATGTCTTATTGTGTGAGTGTGTGTTTAGAAAGCCGAAGAACAGATTTTCTAGAACGTCGCCTGTGTGAGAAATATCTATGTTCCACAACTTACCACATCCTGCTTCTTCCATAATTTGGTTGAGAAAGACTCATACATGTTATAAAGTGGAAAGNTTAGAAAGCCGAAGAACAGATTTTCTAGAATGTCGCCTGTGTGAGAAATATCTATGTTCCACAACTTACCACATCCTGCGTCTTCCATAATTTGGTTGAGAAAGACTCATACATGTTATAAAGTGGAAAGTTCTTCCTTTATGATGGGCAGATGTTTTCCCTGTCTCAGTATTTGCAACCACCTAGTCAGAAATAGCATTTGACAATTCATCAGTCCAGGATTCAGTTCAAAGTCTAAAAAATGAAATGAGAGCATTTCGCTGGAACAATAAGAAACTAATGAGAATTGATAGAAAACTCCGTTTTTTCCTTCATTTGTTTTTTTTCTCCAGAAATGATTTTGGTTCAGATAAAGGACAGCAATTCACAAGGGTGGATTGTGGCATGAAAGGAGAAATTTAGGAAGTGAATAGGCATTGAAATATGCCACAAAACTTGAAAAAAACTAGAACTCACTGAAAAAAAACTCTCTCCCACTGCATATATTGGTGTCTAAAGACGAACAGAAGTCTTTCAAATGTTCAGTGCTTATGATTTTTCTATTAAAATGTAAGCATTTATTAGTATTGCACACCCAGTGTCAACTAAAACCCTAACAATATTTGCTAACTAAGAACTCATGCTAATAATGCGCCAAAGAAAATGCTCTGGGGAATGTGGGTAGTTGAGTGAGCAACAAAGATAGGAAGATGACTGCTGTGGAGACAATGCAGGACTCTCAGAAACAAACCATCTCTTTTGAAATTTCTTGCAGAAACGTGCAGCATCACACGACACTGAAAGTCATTGGTATTTAACGCATGGGATGCTGTATTGAACCCGAACTGAAAAAGGCAGTTTATAAAACACACCGCTTGCACAATTTTTACCTCGGTTTGCAGAATGCAAAGCATTCTGAAGGTCATCCTTCCCTCCCAGGATGATTATTTTTTATTTGACAAAAATCGGTGACTCTGGAGATGAGCGAGGCCGTGTGTCAATGAATTGGTCGCAGCCTCATGAGTCAATCAGACGTGAGATCAACACAGCTGCTGGCACTGTAACGGCCAGGAAGGTTCTAGTCAGCGGCCGGGCAGAGGGGCAGGAGCAGAAAGCACTTTTGTCACATGAGGTGACAGCAGCAACGATTTATTAATATATTCTTTTAAGAGATATTTAAAATCAACACGATGCTTTCAAAGAGTATGAAACAGTTTAGTAATAATATGGGTAGGGTGTTGGCTGCTCTTACAGTTCCTCCTTTAAAAGCAAATGCTACTTTTTTTGCAAGGTGGCCATATAAGGGTGAATCCTGTAACTCTGAAGCAACATATACAACATTGCATACGAAGATTTTGTGTATAATATATTTATTTGCATACAGAAATATGTATTTCTATTATACATTTCATTACTTTATTTATAGAACATGTATATTAAGCATACAGCGTATTCCAGGAGGATACATTAAATATGCACACAGTTCATGCTGCGGCGTGCACCCTTTCAGGAGAAGCATATTGGAGAGGCATGGTATTGTATGTACATGCTGAAAATACACTTTGCACGAGTCATCCGGCTTTGGGTGCTTCCCTAATCTATTGGCAACACCAGTGCCGTGGTTGTTGAAAGGGATCTTAGCAAACTGGAGAAAAGGCAGCTATCAATGAACTAAGTAAGAGAAAATAAAAGTAGATTGCATCTCTACGTGGATGTTGTCATCAGTTTGAACTACCATCTCCCCCAATGTCAGATCTTCAGGATCAAAAAAGCAGTGAATGGGCAAAGAGCTAGAGTATGTGGGACGGACCTCCAGCTTCCACATCAGCACTGGAAAGCTAATCTCGTGACTTATGATTTTTTTTTAGATTTTTACTTCTTATTTTTAGTTTCTGAAATATTTTATTTTTGAGAGCAGTTTTAAGTTCACATCAAAATTGAGCAAAAGGTACAGAGAGTTTCTGTATACTCTCTGCCTCTCCCACTGTCAACAACCTACACCAGAGCGCTACGTTTGCTATAGTGGCTGAATCTACGCTGACACATTTTTTCACCCAACATCCACAGTTGACATTAGGGCTCCTTCTTGCTGTTGTACATTCTATGGGTTTGGGCAAATGTAAAATGACTTATTATATATTGTCCTAACATTTGGGGTCTGCCATTAAATGAATGATGAACCGGTAAAAGGGTAATCACTTCTGTTTTCAAGAAATGACCTGGCTTTCTCACGTTTTTAATCTCCTCTTCCTGTAAGACCACTCTGTGATATTTACATTATTGCTATGAGAAGAACCTCTTGACAGATATTTACCTTTCCAGTGAAAACAAAGGAGGTGAATCATACTGTTTCTGAAAGAGGCTCTTGATGTTTTTGAAAGGACAAATGTCAGCTCCAACAGAAACTGGCCACATCAATGGCCAGCTACTGAAATCTCAATGGACTGGACTCGGTGGCAACCTAATGGGACATTAAGATGTTGGAAGCAGTGTGCTATGTGCCTGGTCTGGTGATTCTGGGTATGGAGATGGGGCCTGTGTTCCCAGTCTATGAATTACAAATACACCAGACTCAATGGATGACAGTGTGTCTGATATATGATTGGTGAGCATTGCCTTTATCAAACAGGTGAGCAGTTTACATTGGTATATTAATAGTGATACAGGATTATTTTCCCACTTATACAAAGCAAGCTCTAGAATCCCTTGAAACAGACCAGGGTTTCTCAAGTTCTACACTATTGACATTTTGAGCCAGATAATTTTTAGCGGGGGAGGGGGCCATCCTGAGCATTCTAAGCTGTTTAGCAGCATCTCTGGCCTCTAGCCACTAGATGCCAATAGCTCTTCCCCCAAATGTGACAACCAAAAATGTCTCCATACATTGTTAAATGTCCCCTGGGGGGGCAAAATCATCCCTGGTGGACAGCCACTGAAATAGACAAATGCAGCAGTAGTTAATGCAAACCTTTGAACACAGTCTCAGAATCTTTCTAATCATCTATAATTTCAGTATTCTTTCCATTTTTTGATCCCATTTGACAAAGCTTCCACGACGTGTCAGTCTACCTTCAATTCCTTTCCTTAATCCTTGATGGTTTCTCTTTCAATAACAGGTGGTGGCCATAGCGAAGGTCAGAAATAAAAGGAACCAAGGGAAGGATGCAATGACAATGTAGAGTAACAGGCCATTTGACTTAAAGTGAGTTGGATTGTTGTGTACAAGAGACCTGGCTCTGGAATCCTCAATCCTTGGATCCAAAGAGTTCATTCGACTAAAGCTGAATCTACATCATAATAGCACAAGCTAATAAGTGAAATATTCAGCCCGCCAATTGTTGTTTATAGGGAACCAAACACGTCATTGGCTTGATGTTCCTTCCCTCAGTTCATTGGTTGATTTGAAGAAATAAAATAAAATAAACATGGCTTTAAAATGTAAACGTTTGCATTGATGTAATTGTAGTGTAAAGGAATCTGTCTGAACTGATGCTGTGTGTTTACACATGGAAGATATAGGGGGGAAATGCCTGAAGTTATTCAAGCAGGAGGCTATTTTTATAAAGGGTGAGTTAGGTCCAAATACTGTTGGCAATTTGTTCTTTCCTGTTCTTTTTGTTGTTGTTGCTTACATTGTGCTTTTGTTTAATTCTCAAAATTGTTGAGATGCCATCAATGAGGCAAGTTACACAAAATAACTAATTAAAGTGCTAATGTCTAACACTGACAAATTCATCATGCACCTCACATAGATAATACTGGTCAAGATGAAGACCATAAACTTAAAAGGCAAAATATGAAATTTGAAAAGGCTTTTATAACTTTTATTTCTATTGATTGGGCCGTCTTTAGAAAATCTGATTGGAAGGCTATAGCAAATATAGTTAAGATAAACGAAGAATAAAAATAACTAGTTAAATATAAACAATATAATCATATATTTCTTTGGGGTCCCAAATAAAGTCTCTACATGGACAAGATTCTTTAGAGCCACTATTTGAGTATAACTTCCTGACATGACTTTTTTATGTGTAGGATTAAAGAAATAAGAGATGTGACCCAGGTACAGCCACCGACATTCTCCTGAATTCTGCTGGGCCCACCTGACCTCTGTTTAAGTTATCCACGACATGTCTGTCACAAAGATTGCTGCACATCTATTGATAGAATGTTAGTTAAAAATAATTTAGGGAGAATTGACAATTTAAGGAATATGGAATATGTGGTTTTAGTAAATGTTTTTGAATTAGGCATTTTTTTCCTCCATTAGATCATAGGATGGTTATAAACAGCCTCGTGTGACTATAAACTGAATATTGGCTCTCAGAGGCATTGAGGGGAAGGGCTTAGCCTCTTGGGACTGACCCAGAAGTCACCGGTGCCACGTGAGTACGTTAATCCTGTTGAGAATCCCAAATGAAAAAAACAGCATTGTCTTTCTGCTGACAAAGTCCAGGAGTTCATGTTTTCCAAGTTAGCATTTCACACGTGGGTCAGGTAGATTCAGGTTGAAACAGATGCCCTTTCAACCACCCACTTTCTTATTTCAAAATCTGTCTGACCTCAGTAAGCTTTCTCCAACTGGCATGACCATTATTTAACTTGATTAAATAATCAAAACCTCAATTTAAAAAAATGATTTTGCTTCTCAAGCATGTTTATATATTAGGGAGGCTATTCTACTAAAATAAGAGACTAGTTTGGGAGAAAACCAGATTAGTGAAACCATTTCCCATAAAGTAGCATAACTACATTACATCGTTATAGGCTTTTATACCCCTGGAGAATGCAGAGGACACAGTGGTCAGGGGTGAAAGGCCCCTTTTCATGGCTGTCTCTGGTTGGATTTGGTGAAAGTCCTCCATAATATGCCCTTACTCAGTGTAGAAGAATACAAAAACAAATGCCATAGCGAGAAAAATAATGATGTGATCTAGTTGGGTTTTTTCTTTGCTTTCTTTTGATGGTAGGAAAGGGGAAAGGTAAAAAAATAAGGATTTATTACATTGCAGTTCTCCAAGTGAAACCATAACAGAAGAATATATGCTTAGCATTTTGGAGATCGTTTCTACACCCTCTTTGATTTCCTCTCTTTGCTTCCCCGTTGTATAATGTCTACTTTTTGTGTTTAAGTCTCCACGTTAACTTGTAATTGTGGCCTTTCATCCTTATATGAACACGTGGGAACAAAAAAATAAAAGGAGCAAGGTTATCCTTGTGCAGAGACTGATAAAATTGTAGATTCAGAAGCCCTTCTTTAGGAGACTGAGGAGTCGCAGAGCCTTCCTGAAATCCACAATTCCAACGTGTCGCCTTCATGGCCTCATGGCTCCTCCACTGGCAGGGCTCATAAGGTGCAAGTTTCTCCAACTGGAGCACAGGCACAACAGGAGTGTCACTGCCGGGCTCCTTAATTGCACATCCACAATAAGACTATAAAGTGCAATGGCAGAGATTTTGCAAACTAGCTCTGTTCCCCCTCTTCTTCCCAGGCTCCCCTTGACTACCTTCCTTCGCCCCGAAGACGTTTTTACCTTGTGGCGCCTATGTTCTTGTAGTGACACATGAGGAGGTGTTTAAAGGTCTTCTTGAAGGTGGCGTTGCAGAGGGCATAGCAGGCGGGGTTGATGGTGCTGTTGATGTAACAGAGCCAGTAGCCGATGGTCCACACGGTGTTGGGGATGCAGGGCGCGCAGAAGGTGTTAATAAGCACCATGACGTTGTAGGGGGCCCACGTGATGATGAAAGCCAACAGGATGGCCAAGATCGTCCTGGTCACTTTCTTTTCCCGGGAAGGGGGGGGCTTCTTCTTTGCAGGCTGCTTAGTCATCTTGACAATCTTGCGGGCCACAGTGTTCTGTTTTTCATCTCCATTCTGACCCGGGGGACCAACCAGCTCCACGGTGGTATTCGTCGGGGCGCATGAGTCACCTTTCTGGGCCTTGGTGACGATTTTGATGCAAGTCTGCTTGGAGCTCTCCTCTTTGGAATAGCCCAGGGAAGTAGACACTGTGTTTTCATCCTGGGTCACCTCGTCCTCTCTCATGTTGGAGGCGACGGCGCTGACGGAGGTGGAGTCATTGGAGCTTTCCTTGTCGTCGGCGGGGACACAGTTGTCAGTCACGGCATCCCGGGGGGCTTTGCCGTTCTGCATTTTGCTGTGCCCCAGGCCATCGTCGCTGCCCGGAGTGTTGTTGTTGTTGGGCTTCACGATCCGCCCTTGGACCAGGCTCGGGGACACCGGATCCTGGTTGGCCGCAGGCTCCTTTCTGTCCTTCTTGATCCTGCTCTTGCTGGCTCGGGATATGTGCCAGTAGAGCACGGTCATGATGATCACCGGCAAGTAGAAGGCGGCGATGGCCGTGCCGAAGGTGACAGCGGCGTTGGAAAAAAACTGGATGTAGCACTCGCCGTCCTTCACGGTCCTCACGCCCACAATGAACTGCCAGAAGAGGATGGCCGGAGCCCAGAGGATGAAGGACAGGACCCAGGCGGCCGCGATCATCATCCCGGCCATTTTCGTGGTCCGCCTGACAGGGTAGGTGAGCGGTTTGGTGACGCAGAAGTACCTGTCGAAGCTGATGATGAGCAGGTTCATCACCGAGGCGTTGCTGACCACATAGTCCAGGGCGAGCCACAGGTCGCACACCACGGGCCCCAAGGGCCAGTAGCCGATCACCGTGTAGAGCGTGTACAGGTTCATGGAGAAGACGCCGATGATGAGGTCGGCGCAGGCCAGGCTGAACAGAAAGTAATTGTTGACGGTCTGCAGGTGGCGGTTGACTTTAATGGACACCATGACCAGGATGTTCCCGATGATGGTCACCAAACTGAGGGACCCGGCCACGAGGACGATAAACACCACTTCAAATGTCTTATAGGGGCTGCTCAGAGCCAAGCCATCGCTGGAGGAGTTGGTCGAGTCATTCATGTTGCCTCCTCCGATCAGTAGCCGAGAAGCCAAAGAAACATTTAAACCTGCGGGGAAACAGAATAAAATTAACAAGCGTAATATAAACATTGCCTTAAAATGTACCGGGGTCCTTCCTTTTGAACCACATTTACCCAAACTCTCGCTTCCTTCACATACGTGTTTATTGTACCTGCCTCAATTAAAAGGGTAATTCAAATGTTATCATATCTAGATAAGAATATCTGTTTATCTATCATCTATCTATCTATCTATCTATCTATCTATCTATCTATCTATCTATCATCATCATCTATCTATCATCATCTATCTATCATCTATGTATCTATGTATCTATGTATCTATCTATCTATCATCTGTCTGTCATCTGTCTATCTATCTGTCTATCTATCTGTCTATCTACCTACCTACCTACCTACCTACCTACCTACCTACCTATATCTATCATCTATCTATCTACATCTATCATCAATCAAGTAGACCGTGCTTAATGTTGATGAATTGAACTAAATAAACCAAAATGATACATATAATTTTCCAAAGCATCACGGAGTTCCTGGGACTGATAAAAAAATAATATACCAATGGGAGCACAAAGTCATGGAAGAAAGCTTAAAACTTATAACACTGAGTTTTGACTTTTATAGTCAATAACTCCTTTACACCTGGTGGCTTTAAGTCTTTTTCATAGTACTAATAATGATAATAAAGATAACTTCATAACACTTTATTAGCCAACACATTTCACTCAATGAGTATTATTTTCTCTGACCTCTGTTTTACGCTTGTAGTCAGGGTCACATATTAGCATTTCCAATATTCCACATCTTGCAAAAGAAGTTATTTATCAAGTGTTTATTGATGCGATTGTATCAATTTTGTGAATGTTTTAGTTTTCAAATCACTGTTAGGTCTATTGATTTACTGTTATTTCTGTTGGCAATCAAGCTAGGATTTATATTTGTCCAGCAGCAGAAGAAACTGAAGCCCAGGAATGTTAAATAATTTATACACGTATCAAGTGAACGATAGAGATGAGACTATGAGCCTCAGTTTGTTCAACCATTCTTTCATTCATTTCGTCATGAGGCACTGTGATATATGCTGGGCATTCAGTGACTAAAACAAAGCCCCTGCCTGCGGGAGGCACAGGCACTGGTGGCAGTGATCGAGCGGTTAAGAAGCAGTTATCAAACCCAAGTGGGCTTTCTGCAGCCCAGCCAAAGTCTGGTGACAACTGAGTGATCTTTCATAAGGGAAGAAGTATGTGGGAGACACAAGAAAGAAAAAAGTTCATCAAATGAGCTCTGACATAGTTCAGGAGACACAGCGTCTGAAAGAAAAACTGGCCCAAGTTGACAAAATCGATGTAAGTTGTGAATATCAGAAAGTAAATATTGATGAGAAATTAGTATTTCAAACTTCAGAAATCTCTATTAATCCAGATTCCACTGATTACAAAATAATGATATTAGATACAGGTGTGGCAGTAGCTTTCCCTTGGAATCATGTAGAAAATAATTTGTTAAGCACCTTCGCAGCACAAATAGCACTTAAACAAAAGGTTTCTTCTGCTTAGGAAGCAAGTTACCCTCAAGCATTAAAAAACACACACACAACTTACTATCTTAGGAGTGGTTTGGCCTGAATATATAAGGCCCCCAAATATAGTAAGTACTGCTTAAGTATTTGAAATTTCTGCATAGAGAATATAAAAAATAAAAATTGGGAAACAATATTTGTAAGGCACATGATCAAAAGTGACCTAAAGGCCCCAGGTCAGACCTCCTGATTCAGAACCTGTAAGCCATACGAGGAAACCCTTCCAAAGCCTCTCTCCTCTTACCCCTTTTCAAATGTGGTCCATTCTGATTTGTCCCCCCCTCGATACCACAGGCTGTCTGTTGGCTTGGGCCTCACACATCACATAAACATTCCCAGGCACCATCGACTCTCGGAAACCCTTTTGGTTGCTCTTGGCCTGGCTGTTGCTTTGTCCCACCTCTGCTCCCATTGCCTCCATCGCACACCTGCTATCATTTTTTCTGTCCTGCTGTTCTTAGTCACTTATTTATTTGCATTAGTGTTATTTGAATGTCAAACGTGAAGCCAAGTTTTTCACACTCCTCATACTATAACCAACAAACCTCATCCGTTTCTGCAAGGCCTCTCTCTTCCTTTTACTTTATCAATATATTCCTTTCTTTCCTTTTTAATTCTCCCATCTCATTGTCCCTTTCCCCCTCTAGAACTTGTTTTGGTTGCTTAGACTATTTTCTTTGGCTAGATATGCAACTCTGAAAAATAAAAGGTTTTTTCCCCCCTTATGACCTTAATTGACCAAACAACCCAGTGTTCTAGCTTTTATGGTTGTTTCTCTTTTCCACTCAATACCATGTTTCTTCGTTGGCCTATGTCAAGTGCGTTGCTTCTAACTCCATAGCGAGCAAATCATGGCAGTCTTTCCTTCCACGTTCCTCTAGCGATGGGCATGTAGATTGCCTCCAGCCTCTCGAAATGGTGCTGAAATGAAAATGTTCACACCGTGTCACAGGCTCGCCTATGAACTTCCCTGTCACATGTGCCCAGGAGTGAGGCCACCGGACCAAGGTGTGGGAATTAGCTTTCTTCTGCCTGCTGCCGCACTGTTCTGGATGGTGGCAGCAGGTCCTACCCTGAGCAGGTCAGCCTTGTTTCTCAATGACCTTCAAACAAGTGTTATGCATCTTCCTAATACTTGCCAGCCCGAGAGAAGTAAAGCGTAGATTTTGGTTTTAACTTCTATGCTTCTGATTATTAGAGAGGCCGAGCCCTTTTTTCATGTAGTTAGTAGCCTTTCAGGTTTCCATTCTTGGAGCTCCCCTGTTCATACCTTTGACTCATAGGACACTGGTTCATATATCCATCTATGTACAGTATTTTCTTTCTTCACTAGAAAATCAGTGAATTTTCACTTCTTAGTCTTTGTAGGTCTACCATCCAGCTCACTGCCTGAAATATAACTGATGCTCAAAAAAGTTGGTTGAGTCAACAAAGGATCAACAATTAATATTATTAATTCAACTCCTATTTACCTAATTAATGGAACCGTTTCAATAGCACTTTCCAGTAACAGCATTTTCTGTTGTTCTTACTCATACAATTGTTTATTCATGGAATTTACTTAAACAAAGTGATTTCACTAATTCAACCAGTGTTCCGATGGCTCCTTGTTAGCTACGTAACCATAAGATGAGAATTATGACTTGCTTATAAGCTTGCTTTGGTTCTTCTTAGATTCACTCATGAACATTTTTTGGAATTGAATGATATGTATATGTATGTCACAGAATGTTAATTTTAATACACATTGATTGAAAAATACCGAGCATTTATTTTCTGAGTGTTCTGTTTGACACTTTAATTTATTTTTCACATTCATTTGAATAAAAGGCAGGACTATAGCTTAGTTATAAGAAGCTTTTTGGTGACTTCCTCTGAAGAAAATGTGTAGATATAACATTTATGTTAAAAAATAAAACTAGTTTGATCTCCTATTTTATAGATTAAGAAAGTGAAAGAGACAGTGATTTGTCCATGGTCATCTGGTCCTTGCCATCACTTGTGCTAATAACACTGACTGTTATTCTGAAACTTCACAAGGACATAGAGCAGCACGATTCTCACTCCGCTCCTTTTATATTATTTATTCATTGGTTTGTTTTCTGCCTTCCTCCTGTCCCTTTTTCTTGTTTACCATGAGCATGCATTACATTTTCAACTGAAAAAAAAAATCACATCTAAAAGAAAACACAGTCTTAGGCCTCTCAAACTTATGTTAACTTGTTTAATGTTAACAGCTCTTTAAAATATTCAGAACAGGTCCTCTCACCCTTTTTTTCTGAAGAAGGAAGCTGAGGCTCTAGGAAGAGATTAAGCAAACTGTCCTTGGTTTCAAGGCTGGTGAGTAAACATCTGCGACTAAAACCAACATCTTTACTCTTCGGTAGGATGCTTTTTCTCTCCTTTCCCAGTCTGAGACTATAATTTTATCCAGTAATGTGTTAAACTGTTAGGCATCTGTATAATCATGAACTGGACCCAGATTCCTTTTGAGGGACATGGAATTCTTACCCTGGTAGAGCATAGTAAATGTTTAAAATGTTAACATACTTACTTGCTATCACATCCTCTAAATTTTTGGTTCTAATATTTGCTCGTTTCTATTAAGGCTATCTGTGAAAATGGAAAACATTTCACTTAGAAGCAAGCACAGTGTCAGAGGGATGGCATTCCTGTCTCCCCACGTGACGCACAAGCTATGCAAGGACTGTTCCTCTTCTAGTAAAAAAAACTTTCCTTCTGTCAACCCCTTTTGGTCAGCCTCTTGCCACCTCTGCTGTTTACACTTCTGTAAACGTTTTTACTTCTGGTGTGGCATCATAGGGCCTTTTAAAACGAGATTTGTTACATCATTGATGAAATAGCATAGTCACCACAGACTAAACAACGAAGATGACCTTCAGAAGACTCAGCATCTTACTATGGCAAGTCTATCATAATCGGTTTGGTATTTTACAAAGCTAGTTTATGACCAAGTCCTGAAAGTGCTATGGAAACTTATGAAAAAAATTCCCTGCCCTTAGCTTTTCACTATTCAAGTTCCTATATGTAGCAGTGAAGAACGTATCCTGGCTTAATATTATCCTTGCAAAGTTACAGGTACTAATCTCTAATCTTAATTATTAGCTGTGTGAGTCTGACCACCCCACTTAACTTCCACGAACCTTAATTTTCTCAAACAGGAATAATAAGAACTATTTTTCTCCTAGAGGTAGGAATCAAAGTGAGATGTCTCTGAACCATGATCTATAAATGTTTAGCATTAAATCAATGTTATTAATACTCACATTTGTTAAATGTCTGTAAGCTTATCACCTTTTTTCACAGTTAACAGAAAATTGTGTGTGTATATATGAAATAAATTCAGAATGTGGCGGTAGAGGCAATACTAAATTATGATTGCCAATGACATTATGTTATCAATAATATTGAA